ATGGAAAGGACCTTAGAGGTCATCCAGTCTAATCCCCTCACTGTGAAAATAAGGAAACAGAGGCCAAGAGTGATCAAGAGACTTGCCCAAGGTCATACAGCAAGGAAATGGTAGAGCTCACACTAAAACTAGGTCCTCTGACTCCAGATCCAACACTTTCCCTCCGTCATGATGCTTCCCCTTAATCTCTGGTCACAAATTTACTGTATAACAAATAGAGGTGGGGGTTCTAGGGAGGAAGATCTTGGTTCCCAACCATTAGGGAGATCCAATAATGGAATGGACTGCTTCATGAGGCAGTGAGCTCCCAATCACCAGCAGCATATCAGAAGTTGGACCTTGAACAACCTCCTCAAAACATTGCTCTGAGAATGGAATTGTTCAGACATTTCAGTCATCTCTGACTCTTTGCAACCCCATTTGAGGTTTTCTTGGCAAAGATACTAGAGTGCTTCGCCATTTCCTTCTCCAGCTCATTTTAAAAATGAGGAAACTGAGGCAAACAGGTCTAAGTGACTAGCCCCAAGGTCACCAGATTTGATTTTGTGAAGATAACTCTTCCTGAGTCCAAGTCCAGCGCTCAATCCACTGTCCCACCTAGCTGCCCCAGAAGGAATGCAGTACCTCAAATGTGGTCTGACTAGGGAGGGCAAAGGACAGTGAGTCTATCACTGCCCTCACTCTGGACACTATGCTTCAGTTTCTATAGCCTTGGGTCCCAACAATACTTTTAGCAGCAGCACTTTGGTACCTTCCTGAAGGAAGCATGTTACAACTGAATATGGCATTAGAGGACATGTTTCTGTTACTACCTATATGACCTGGAACACATCATCTAAACTATGTGGGACTCAGTTTCCTCATTTGTAAAATGAAGGTATTAGACAAGATGGTTTTTAAAGTCTCTTCCAGTCCTAAACCTACAATCCAAATTTTTGGGTTCTGTCTGGCGATCAGGCCCCTGGGCTATCAGGCAGTAAGGTTGGGGTGTAGATGGAGGGCAAGGCTGGCCAGTCTCCCTCATTTGGAGATTCAATTTTCTAGTGACCACAGTAAGGATTACATTCTGTCTTCTCATGGGTTTTTTTTTTTTGAGAAATAGACAAATGTCAGGAAGGACAAGCCATGCTGACAATCAGAGACTGAACCTCCTCTTTCCTGGGAGGTGGAGTCCTTGGAATTCCCTTCTCCCCCACTCTGAGGCATAAACTGAAAGTATAAGTGGGATTTAGAAAGGCAGGGATAACTGGGTAAAATCTGGCCCTTACACGGGTAAAGGAATAGCTCCTAAGCAGCTAGTATTCTGGGAACTAACAAATGTTATTTTAACACTTCAGGTTCCATTTCCACTGACACTCTGCATTCTATGCTACAAGGCTTCTCCTAGCTCTGACATTCTATGTTCTAAGGGCCCTCTCAGCCCTGCAATTCTGTGACTTGTGGGTAGCCACATCCTCTTCCAGGCTGCTTCCTAATGAAATGACTCCTTCTTCTCCACAAGGTAACTGTTGTCCATCCTGTGGGCAGAGCAGGGTAATGAGCCCCAGCATCATTCATCTGCATCTTAGTGACTGCCAGAGCCAGGTTCCCAGAAACCCTAATGGAATTACTTATCGATCTGGTCTCCTCCAAGATGCAGGGGACAGTGTGCAAAGGTTGGAGCATCAGGATAAATGGGGGCATGAAATAGCAGTTTGGCCAGATAATCATTTGGAATGATGGTAGGCAGCAGGAAGGTTGGCTAGCATCCTTACAGTTGTTCTGCTTTGGAGGCATAGAATCCCAAAACAGGATGAAGCTTCTAGATTTGTTCTCAGGGCTCCTCCTTCAATTTCTGTCTATCTTCATCCTTTTCTGCCCACTGTCTCCAGATTCCCCATGCCAAAGGGACTATCCCATTCGTATGGGAGAGGGGGAACAAATTGGAGTATGGCTTGAAAGAGCGACTAGGAGTCCAGAGCCTGGCTTGAGTCCTGATTCTACTCCTTACTAGCCATGGGACCTTGGGCAAGCCACCTCACCTCTAAGCCTCATCTGTCAAATGGGGCTGATGAGACTTGCTTTGCTAACTTCATGGGTCTCTTGTCAGGTCCAAATAAACTCTTATGAGAAGAACACTTTGTAAACCATCAATCACTATATAAATGTAGGTCTATTATTATTAGCTATGTGACTTGAGACATGTCAAATTCTCTGAAAATTAAGCATCTCATCTTTCAAATGGGTATAATGCCTGCCCTATTATAATAGCACTAGGATATTTAGAACTATTGTGAAGATTATATGAAATGGTTGTAAACTACCGAGCTCTTTTATAAATGTAAGAGATTCTCATCCTATTATTACAAAGTTAAAATGTTAGAACTAGAAAGGAATGGTTATTTAGTCAACCTCTTCACTTTACAGGCAGGGAAACTGAGCCCTAGAGGACAGAAATGATTTGCCCAAGGGCACACAGTGACAGTGGCCATATGGGGACTGCATTTTTTTTCAGGTTCCTGCCCCTATGTCATCAGAGCTCTCTCCACCTGCTGGAACCTTGACTGGGTGGCACCTGTTAGTTACGCAGGGGCAGAGTGGGTGTAGAATATGTGAAAGGATGCTCTTTTGTTATCACTGTCCTATTTACTGCTTGCCTGATGGCTTGAGTCAGCTGGGCCCTTTGCTCCTCCCCTCCGATGCCCAGGGGAGGGTGCTTTGAGCTCTGTTTTGCCATCAGCTCAAGCCTTTTCACAGGGGTCAATTAAGTCTAAGTGTGTGTGGGAAGTGAGAAGCAGCTGTTTGATTTCTGGGAGAAAGGGTCTATAGATACTCTAGTTCTAGTAAGTCTGGGGTCAGGATGGAAAATGGGGCTGTCTGCTTTCCTGTTATGATGGCAAACAATCCTGACTAGGGTCAATTGGTGGGGGAGGGTTAGTGAGGAGGGGCGGAGAAGTTGAATGAGTCTGAACCATTAGACAGATCCAACAGAAGGAACCTGGGAGTGGAAGGAACCAGAGGATCTGAGTTCTGAATCCCCACTCCTCTCTTTCCTATGACCCTGCACAAATCACCTCCTCTTTCTGGGCTTCATTTTCCTCAGATATTGTTTCATTCTTTGTCTTTGAATCCCTCACGCTGTGCTTGGCACATAGACTATACTTAATAAATGCATATTGAATGAATGAAGGAAGGAAGGACATTAGCTTAGATGACCTCTGAGGGCCATTTCTAAATCACATGCATGGGTCCCTGGGCTGCCTGAGATATCAGGCTGGGAAGCTTCAAGTCCCCCAGCATCCACCTGATGTCCTCCCTGACTCATCCCTACCCAGCCTGACCATCCTCCCCACCCTCTCCTCTGATCAGGATTTGGGTTAACACATTCCACATGGCAATTGCATCTGAGTCCTAAGGTCCAACACCTTAGCAACCACATAGTTGCAAGGCGTGGGGCTTAGAGTCAGGAAAGGCCTGGGCTCAAGTCCTGGGCAAGTCACTTTACCTTATAAACCTCAGTTTCCTCATCTTCAAAATGGGAAAACAATACTTTACATTGTCTACTTCACCCAACTATTTTGGAAAGCGTTTTGTAAACCTTAAAGCACTAAAAGAAATGTGAATCATTGCTATTATTATTATAATTACAAAGATATAATTATAGCATGCAGCCTCAGGTCATGAAACAGAAGTCTTGATGCTTTCTTTTTGGCATTTGTTGAATCCCTCTTCCCAATTACTTCAGTCACTCAGAGTCCCAGTGGAAGATCAGAGAATAGTTCAAGCTGTGGCTAGGGACCATATCTGTCTAACCTCCATTTCTTTCTCCAGGCACTCTTCCTGTCTGTCAAAGCATTGGGGATCATTTTGGTGAGTCCCTGTAAAGCTAGGGAGCATCAAGAGTTGTGGGTTGGAAGGGAGTAGATTGACTGACTCACTCACTCTCCCTCTCTCTCTCCCTCTCTTTCTTTCTGTCTCTCTCTCTCTCTCTCTCTCTCTCTCTCTCTCTCTCTCTCTCTCTCACATCCCTTTCCCCATTGGATCGTTTCTGCTCTTCAGAGCCCTCCCTTGGCCTCTCTGTCATCAATGACTCCCATGAGTGTAGAGAATGTCTTACTATACATAGAAAAGCAGCTGCTTCTGAAGTGGAGGGCAGCAGCTCAATTAAAGGAATAGTCCACTATTATTTTTAAGTTAAGAATAGAAGAATAAGCATAGCTTCTAGTCGTGCAAAAAGGTATATCTCTTTACCCCACCAAAAAAAATGTTCACCCTTCCGAAGTATCTTCAGCATGCTCCTTCTCCAAGCCAGCAAGGGATTAGAGAACTCCTAAATCATTCTTCCTCACCCAGATTGCCTTAGCTGGTTGAAAATACCTGGGCAAATTTAAGAGAGTAGAATGACTCCCCCCTCCCTCCACACTTATGATCCACAGAACTGACACTGGGAACCCAGGAGTAGCCGTGGGCAGTGACTGGACTGGGATTTCCATCCAGGTAGGATACTGGTTTGGCCTCTGCCATAATGGCCTGGCTCCCTATTCTTCAAAGTGCCCTCCACGGAAGTTTCCCTTTGACGAGCTGCCTAGGCCAATTATGGCAAACTCTGGCTGGAGATAGGAGAATGTCATCTCCCTGAACTTCCAGGAACTCCTTTTGGGGATCCTGACCTAGCTGTGATCTCCTCAGGGAGGAGGGGCCCAGGCAGCAAGGAACAGGAGGGTCTGGCATGTAGAAATGCCTCTCCAACCCTAGATTCCTCTCTTCTATTGCTTAAGAAGACAGGCATTGCGGTAGTAGAATGAGAGGACCTGGGTTCAAATTCTGACTTTCTTCTTAACTCTGCGTAATCTTGGGCAAGTTACTTCCCCTCTTTAGGATTCTCTCTTCTCACCTGTAAAATGAAGGGGTGCTGTTCATCTGGATGATTTCTAAGGTCCCTTCAAGTCAGAAATCTTTTGATCATTTCCCCCCATCCCCAACCCAATTAAACATGCTTCATGCCATGCATTTGCTACAGAGGTTCCCCCTGAGACTAACCAATGCAATCTATCTGGAATGGATTGGGGGTGAAGTGGGGGGCTCTTGGCCCACTGGGGCTCCTGTCACCCAGGCCATTATCTTATCTGGACAGTTAGCTCCCCTGCCCAGGCCCAGGGATGCTATTGCACTGATTGGCATTAGAGTCAGAGTTATTGCGGGAACAATCCCTCATGATGCTGTAGTAGACAGGGGCCATGTATTGGGATGGGGGCTCGGGCTGGGCTGTCCTGCACCTGCACAACTTCTGAAAGGCTGTGCGGAACTTCTGGGACATGAGGTTGTAGATGATTGGATTGACAGCACTGTTTAGGTAGATGCAGATTCGACAGAAGAGGAGGAACCAGAGATTCAGATAGGGCGGGTTGAGGAAGGAGTTGACCACCACTAGAGTGCGGTATGGCGTCCAGAGCAGAGCAAACAGAATTACCACCACAACCAGCATCTTGATGACCTGCCAGGTAAGGAAGGGATAAGAAGTTGTGTTTAGGTTTGTAGAGGAGACAGCGCATGAACTTGGAATCAGGAGATCTAGGTTTACTAGCTATGCTCCTCTTGAGCAGGTCAGTTAATCTCTGAGCCTCCGTTTCCCCATATACAAAATGGGGGCAATGTGGGACCACACGTCAACTTTAAGGAGTGTGTGAGTAACAATGTACTATCTCAGTGGTGACTAGGAAACTTCACTGGGTCATGTTGTCAACATTTCTCTGCCTCTTTTCAAAAATAGGCTGATCCCCTTCTATCCTACTCACTCTAGAACTCTTCCCCAAGCACCTCGAGTCCCAACTTTTTAACCATGAAATGTGAAAATGTGGTGGGTTTGCAGGCGTGGTTTCATTCCTTTACCTGATTCAATTCATTTCAATTTTACAAATATTATTAATTCTTTCTTTAGAGCCTCCTAGTTGGTCCCCCTACCTCATTTCTCTCCTCTTTCCAATCTGACCTCCACACATTTGTCGAAGTGATATTACTAAATTACAGGTCAGATCATGTCACTACCCTGCTCAATATACTCCAACGACTCCCTATTACCTCTAGGATAAAATACAAATCATTCTATTTGGCAACAAAATTTGCACAATCTGGCTTTATCCTACCTTTGCCAGATTATTCTCTATGACCTCCTTTAAGAACTCTACACTCCAGGCATACTGGACTCACTGCTTTTCCTCACACAAGGCATTTCAGCTCCTTTCTCTATTCCTTTTCAAAAGCTGTTCCCCATGTCACACATGTATTCCTTTTTTTTTTTCATCTTTTAGAATCCCTAATTTCCTTCAAATCTCAGCTCAAGTGCCATGTTCCACATAAGGCTTTTCATGATAATTCAAGTGCTAATACCTCTCCCCTTCCCCTCAAGTTACCTTGTATTTATTTGGTTTAGATTTCATACATATGTATTCATATGCATGTTATTTCCTGATAGATTGTAAGCTCCCTGAAGGCAAGAATTGTTTCACTTTTGTCCTTGTATCACCAGCAGGTGTTTAACAGATATGTGTTTATTGAATTGATTAAGTAGACAACCTGTAAGATTCCTTTCTAATTTGAGAGTTTATGAGTCTGTGAGTGAAAGATGAATTTGTGAGACCAATTCTTCTATGGTCCAATGAATCTAGGTCTGTGATTCCCCTCAAGGCTCACGTCTCACTCCAGGTTATTTCTCTTTCACCTGGAAACTCCTTAACAGATTGTCCTTCTCTCCGTCTGTGGCTACCTTTCCAGACTTCCAGGTTCCTGCTTCCTTACAACCTGTGCATTGTCCAGCACCAAGTCACTCCTTCATCTCCACCCCCCCTCCCACCCCCACCTTTCATTTCACATCTGCCCTGAAGTGACTCTGAGAACTTCTCTGCTGAACTCTGTAAAATCCAGAGAATCTCTCTGGAGTGCTATAAACAAGCTAGGGGAGTGAGAGTAGGGGCTGCCAAGGCAGACACAATGAGTAAGCCCACCATTAGAGCTTCAAACTTGCTAATTAGGCCAGCCTCCCAACCTTCCTCCCCCAGCACCACTTGGGAGTTTTAATAGCAGGTTTGGTGGTGTGAATCCTGGAGGGGCTGTTATTCTTGAGCTTGGTGAGTGGCTGGAAATTCAGAAAATATAGCCCGAAGGACAAATTATCAGTCCCTTGCCCCAGGTTATTTCCTTCCCCTTAGCTCTATGAGAAATGCGCCAGAATGGAATATCATCTGCAAAGTCATTGGAGAAATTCCTGTGAAGTCAAACTGTTGGGCAGGCACCATGGCATACCCAAATATAGCCATTGTTCACATTCATGAGCAAAACTTGCCCTCTTTGAGTCCCAATTTCCTTATCTGTAAATGGTTGGACTAAGTTCCCTCCCAGTTCCAACATTTTATGTTCTAAGATCCCATTTAGATCTGATCTACTCAATTTAAGATCTGATCTACTCCCAGTGGTAACATTCTATGTTCCAAGGTCTCTTCCAGCTCTGACATTTTATAATATGAAGGGGCAGGGAGCTTTTTGCAAGGAAGATACAGTGTAACCAAACCCTACAATTACAAAGTCTGCTATTATAGTAGTTAGATGTAGGCTTTTGTTTCAAGAGAAAGAGAGAGAGAGGCTGGAGGTAAGGAGAAAGAAATCTACTGCAACATTTCCGGTCAAAGGTGATGGAGACCTGGGCTAGGGTGGTAGCCAAGAGGATGGAGAGGACACAGATTATAGAACCATCGCAAAAGATCAAATGTGATAATGGGCGTGAATGTGCTTTGACAGTTTGAAGAGCAAAGTCTAATGATTCATGGCCGTTTCATTTGTTATGGGAAAAAGCCCAAACCTTCCAAATTTTCTCACTACTTGGAAGAAAAAAATCACAAAGCAATTGTCAAGACTCCCAAAAGGAGGTCCTTTAAGCTTTTAAAACCAAACTGGACACGACATGGAACCACAGAATTTTGAGAGCTGGAGTTAATTCAGTGATCATCTAATCCGATCCGTGCCCCGCAAACACTCCCCACTACAACACATCCATTTTGTGGTCATCCAGCCTCCATTTGAAGACCTCCAAGGTGGGAGGTTTCACCTCTTGAAAAAGCCCATTCCACCTCTGGACAGCTTCAATTGTTAGAAAGTTTTGATTTTTGTTTTCCCAAACTGGCGTCTTCGAAACTTCCACACGTTCTTCCCAGATCTGCCACAATCAGACCCACCGAGTTCCCTAAATCTGACCCTAATCCTCCCAGCAAACTTTCCTTATACGCCTTTGAGGCTGCATTCCCCACTCCCGCGCTCCCTGTCCCTCTCCACCAAGCAGGGAAAGGAAAAAAGGGAAGGATTAGGGTTAACCCCTTACCTGTTTCCTGGAGCTCAGGGCGCCCCTGCTCCCGCGGCACGAAAAGCGAACTGACCCGACGGAGCCGGAAGGGAGCTCTAGGGACTGGCCCTGGTGGATGGAGCCGGCAAGGTCCCCGTCGGACTCTCGGGGCAGGGGACCTAGGAAGAGGATGCGCGCGATGAGCGTGTACAGCACAGTGGCCAGTCCCAGCGGCAGCGCGTAAAACAGTGCGAAGTCTAGGAAGTACACGGGCAGGTAGAGCTTGCGGGACACTCGGTAGCCGCACTGCACCCGCACGCCATCGGCGAAGGCCACCTCGCTCGTGTCCACCAGGAAGAGCCACATGATGCAATACGCAGCTGTGCCCAGCCACACAAGAGCGATGATGCGTTTGGCCCGGGCCACTGTGCACAGGGACTGTGCGCGAATGGGGTGGCAGATGGCCAGGTAACGCTCCACCGTGAACGCTGTGAGCGAGCCCGTGGACGCGTTGATGCCCAGGTACTGCAAGTAGGTGATGCACAGGCAGCCCGCGTGGCCAAACACCCAAGAGGCCACCACGTCGGACAGATTGGGCAGCCCGGCCGCCAGCAGCACTAGGAGATCAGCGGCTGCCAGACTGACCAAGTAGCAGTTGGTGGGGGTGACCATATGGCGACTCCGGGCCACCACCAGGACTACCATGGCATTGCCTGCGATGCCCACGCTGCAGATGATCAGCACCAGCGCAATGGTCACCACCTGAACAGCCAGGGGTGTCCGAGGCATGAGGCCCAGGGTCCTACCAGGGTCCGAGTCGTTGACTGAGAGGCTGCTGACTTCCCATGTTTCGTTCTCCATGGTCGAACTACCCTTGGAGGAGACAGGAGGAGGCTAGTGAAGAATTGTCCACCTCTAGGCACTTCCCACGGCACAGATTCCAACTGTTACCCACTTCCCTCCCCTTTTCCCCGTCCTCTGAGGAGGTACTGTACTTAATAAACACGGGTTTGAATCTGCCTCAGACACTTACCAACTGTGTGACCCTGGGCATTTTACTTAACCTCTCTAGATTTAGTTTCCGAATCTGTAAAATAAGATTGTTAGGTTCCATGACCTCTAAGGTCCCTTCCAGCTCTAATTCTGTGATCCTATGAGATCCATCTATGATCTTCCTCAGCTGGCGACTCCGCTTATGTCCTACCAGATTCAGTTGTTTCTGCCCTGGGCTCCACGAGTATCACCCGGGCATAGATCCAGCTGTGTGCCCCCTACAGCTCTCCCCTTCCCACAACATAGATTCAGCTAGGACATCACCTTTCCTTTGGCTCCAAGCTCCTGTGCGTGCAAGCCGAGTGCCCCTTCCCCAATCAGCTTCTCCCTTCCGCAAGTTTGCGGGACCCGAGTTAAAGCAGGATTAGCGTCTACCTTCTCTCCTTTCTACCTTCCTACTGCAGGACGTTGGGTCCGTTCCTATCTTTCTCTAGGGCTGGACTTCACCAGAAACAGGATGCTGGAGCTAACGAGCTGGGCTGCCTTCTCAATCTCTGACCGGCTCCAACTCAACTCCGCCCCGCATAGCCTTGCGCGGGGCTATCACGCTGGGGTCCTAGCGCCTCCCCCAGTCATCTCCAACCTTAGTTGTGGAAGGGCTAGAGAAGCTCAGAGCCCACGGGAGCCCAGCAGAGGAAGAGTCTGATATCCATGGCCTAATCCGCCAGCTAAATACTCTGCGCTCTTCTCTGGCCCTTTTCTTCAACAACTACTAGGGTGTTTGTTTCTGCATCTCACTCAGTTCATTCCAGTAGCGTGGACTTGGGTTCATCCCAGCATTCTCCAAACTTTCCATCTCACAAACTGCTGTCTTCATGACCAACCTGCAGGTAAGTGGGTTATTATTATTCTCATTCCACACATGAGGAAACCAAGGCTTAGCTGAGTTAATCGACACTGATCACGTAGTGACTAAGGCAGGATTTGAACGCAGATCTTCTGACTACAAATCTAAGGGTCTCTCTACTTACGAAGAGAAATATATTCTGCTTTAGTTGGCCCCACTTAGGGTCTTCTGTCTCTCAGCATCTCTTCACTGTACCCCAAAGCCCTCACTAACACTGCTCATCAGGACCCAGGGCTTACTAGGCTATGGCCAATTAGAGAATGATTAGAGAATCACGGGTGTGCTGAGAAATATTTAACAACCTGCTCTCTAGAAAAAAAAAAGTATGCACAACACACTTCTAAATTAAATCTGCACTATTAACATTACAGTCATCACTTTCTTTTTTAATAGCATTTTATTTTTCCAAATATATGTGAAGATCTTTAGCATTCATTTTTACAAAATTTTGAGTTCCAAAAATTTCCCCCATTCCCTCCCTTCCCCTCTTCCTAAAATGGTAAGCAATTTGATATAGATTGTGTCTGTATGTAAACATATTTCCATATTAGTCCAGATATGAAAGAAGAAACAGACCAAAGGCAGAAAAACCAGGAAAAAAATAAAGTGAAAATACTATGCTTTGATCTGCATTCAGAGTCCATCAGTTCTTTCTCTGGATGTGGATAACATCTTCCATCATGAGTCCTTTGTAATTGTCTTGGATCACTGTATTGCTGAGAAGAGCTTAGTCAATCATAGCTGATCATCGCACAATGTTTCTGTTGTTGTGTACAATGTTCTCCTGGTTCTGCTCATTTCACTTTGCTTCAGTTCATATAAGTCCAGGTTTTTCTGAAATCTGCCTAGTCATCAATTCTTATTGCACAATTAATATTTCATTACATTCATATATCACAGCTTGTTCAGCCAGCCATCACTTTCTCAAGTCTACACAATTAAAAAATCGAACAATAAATCAAACCCTGTTTGTGTGTTTATTTCACAGGTGTTAATGCTCACACTGAAAATTTAACAATCAACTCTCACAAGGACTCAATTTTGATACTTTCCTGTCCCATATCCCACCCTCTCCTTGCCAGACACTTTCTGGTCAGTAGCCTGGTATCATGGGGAATTCTTGTTGTCTACCACCAGCAAAGGGAAGCTGTGGAAAGGTCCTGTGGAAATTAAACATCTAGGATGTTTGTTTAGTAACTTTCTAATATTATTATGCTTATTAAATAGATGAGACTGAAGCCTAGTGACTTACTTGCTCAAGGTCACATGGTTAGTAGCAGAGCCAGGACTGTAAACCAGGGTACCTGAACTTTTAAACCTGGTTCTCTTTAATTGGCCTTATTTGTGGATAGCAGTCAGCTAGGTGGTAAAGTGGATAGAGTGACAGTCTGGAGTCAGGAAGACTTGTCTTCCTGAGTTCAAATCTACCCTCAGACACTTACTAGCTGTGTGACCCTGGGCAAGTCCCTTAATCCTATTTGTCTCAGTTTCCTCATCTGTAAAATGAACTGGAGGAGGAAAGGGCAAAGCAATCCAGTATCTTTGCCTAGAAAACCCCAAATGGAGTCACAAAGGGTCCGACATCATGGAAATAATTAAACAACAAATTTGTGGATAGGGACATCATCCCCCACTTTTAAGGCTTTGATGTTCATTTCAAAGGCTAGTTGCCCAGGCTCATCTTTTAAACCATTGCTGTTGCTGTTCAGTTGTTTCAGTCTGACTCTGTGACCCCATTTAGGGTTTTCTTGGCAAAGATACAGATGAGGAAACTGAGGCAAACGGGGTTAAAGGACTTGCCCAGGGTCACATAATAATATGAAAAACAAATTGTTCCCTGGGCCTCTCTACAACCAAAGAGATAGTTGGAATTCTGGGTAGCTCCAGATGCCTCCAGAAGAGGCCAGGTGAGCTAAAAACATCATTTTACCCAGAAACCCAGATCCACAACCCCACAGGCTGAATGAACTGTGATCTAAATAATTGATGAATGACCTGAAAGCCACCAAGGAGGCAATAGGGCAGGGCAGAATAAATAACTGTCTAACTCTGACCTCAAAGGTCCTGGGGAAAGAATGTGGGTCAGCAGGAAGCCCTGGCTAATGTAGGAGAAAGAAGACTTCAATGGATCATGGTGCAATGGATCAATGCACTGCATTTGGAGTGAAAGGACCAGAGTTCAAATCCTGGCTGCAGCTTTCTATTCATGTAACCTTGGGCAAGTCAATTAACATCTAAGTTTCAGTTCCTCTTTTGTAAAGGGTTGGACTAGATGATCTCAAAGGTCCCTCCACTCTCTAAATCTATGATCTTGTGATCCTATCAATGTCAAAAGATCTGGGTTCTAGGTCCAGCTTTGCAACTAACTTGTTATATTGTCTTGAGCAAGTCTTTTCTCTTCTCTGGGCCTCCCTTTCTTTTTCTGTGACATAAAAGACTGGATTAGATGATCTCTAAGGTGTTTCCCCAATGCTGTGGGGTTTTTAAATTATTATCTGAGATCCCATCTAGGTCTGATATTCTGTGATCTATGTTCCAAGATTCTTCCAGCTCTGATAGTCTTGCTCTAAATTCTAACATCCCTTTTAGCTTTGATGTTCTCTGTCCCAATAACAATGGCTGACACTCTGTAGCTAATGTTTCTAGAGCACTTTACACATCAATGTTTCATTTGACCCTCACAACAACCCTTGGAGGTAGGTGATACTAGCATTCCTGTTTTACAGATGAGACAGCTGAGGCCCAGAGAGATCTTGCCCATGGACATGAAGCTAGTAAGTGGTGTAAGGAGGATTAGAGCTTGGGTCTTTTCTCTTGACTCTAAGTCCAGAGTTTTCCATTACACCTAGTCTGAGGTCTCTTCTGGTCCTGACATCTTGTATTCTAGAGGTTCCTTATCCAATGCACCAAATTCTATATTCTATGGTCCACCCCCTCCAGCTCTGACATTCTATGTTCTATATTCTGAGGTCTCTTCTAGCTCTGACACTTTAATAATGTTGATGGATGGTGATATCTAGCATTTATATAGCACTTTCAAGTTTGTGAAACACTTTATGTATTATTTGATCTTCACAACAATCCTCTGAGGTGGGTGTTATTATTATCCCCATTTAACAGATAATGAAACTGAGGCTGAAAAAAAAAGACTTGCCCACGGTCACATAGCTATTAAGTGTAAAGAGGCAGGATTTGAATTCAAGCCTTCTTGATAAGAAGTCTGTGATACTTAGCTGCCTTTACATTCTATGTTCTAAGATTCTTTCCAGCTCTGACATTCTATGGGCTATATTATATATGGGCAGGTGGTGGCACAGTGCACACATGGAGTATTGGACCTGGAGTCAGGAAGACCCGAGTTCATATCTGACCCTCAGACACTTACTAGATGTGTGAGCTTGAGCAAGTCACTTTAATCTCTGTTTGCCTCAGTTTCCTCACCTGTAAAATGGAGATAATAATAGCACCTACCTCCCAGGGCTGTTGTGAGGATCAAATGAGATTTGACATATGCATATATAATATAGTCACATATATAATGTATACATCTATAATAGATGTATATATGCTATATTATATGCATCTATAATGTATACACATGTATATATATACTCTTTCTATTTATACACAAAGTAAATATGTGGTAATATTTTGGAATGGGAGGTACTAATAGTTGGTAAAATTGGGAAATGTAGGAAATAGAATTTGGATTAAGCTTTGAAGGATTCTGAGAGTCAAAGAGTGATAAGGTTTAGCCCATATAAGCTTTGAGTATCCTTATTTCAACTCTCACTCTCACAGGTGAGCTTTGGGTTCCAAAGCAAAGCTACAACTTCCTGATCAGAGTTCTAGGAGTACCCCTGAGGAGTTAGGGTTGATTCTCAACAAC